ATACAATGAATGGAATGACAGGAAGTCATCCATTGTATACAATTGACATGTGATTGGTCAGAGCAGTCACATGACACTGGCAATGGGCCAGTGTAGTGGTACGTCATCGACTTTGTCACGTGGTGACAGGACATTATATGACGCAGAGTCACAAGGAGTATCCCGCGCTGCAGTCAATCTGCTATAGGTCGGGTGGGAGGGTGTTAATATTCAATCTAGCAAATTGAAGCAGAAATCTGCGCGCTTTTTTTTTTTTTTTTTTTTTTTTTTTTTTTTTTTTTTACACAAGTAAAATAAGTTACTTCTAATCATGACTATCCTATAGTCATGGCCAAAAATATTGGCACCCCTGCATTTCTGCCAGATAATGCACCACTTCGCCAGAAAATTGTTGCAATGTGTTTTAGGCATTCTCATGTTTATTTCTGTTTTGTATTGGTATGACAGAAAAAAGTGGAAAAACAAAAAGCCAAATCTAACATATTCCATGCAAAACCCCAAAAATGGGCTGGACAAAGTTATTGGCAGCTTCTGAAAAGAAGAAAGTAAGACACTACATTCCAAGTTTGTGATGCTCCTGCCTGTAATTTGTAATTAAACTCACCCATATCAATTACTAGGTGCTGACAATATAGAAATCGCACCGGCAACCAGCTAAAATGGTGAAAAATTGACTCAACCTTTCTATTGTGTGTCTGTGTGCCGCATGGAGAAGGGAAAGAGTAGCAAAGAATAGTCCTGAGGATTTGAGAATAAAAATTGTTGAAAAGCATGGACAATCTCAAGGTTACAAGACCATCTCCAGAGATCTTAGTGTTCCTGTGTCCACTTGACAATGTTGTGCACAGATGTTTACAGCCCATGGCACTGTAGCTAGTCTCCCTGGATGTGGACGAAAGAGAAAAATTGATCAAACGTTGCAACGAAGGATTGTTTGGTGGATAAAGCACTTCAATCAACTTCCAGGCAAATTCAAGCTGGCCTTCAGGCACAGGGTACAACTGTGTCATCTTGCACCATACATCGCCATCTGAATGAAAAGGGACGCTATGGTAGGAAACTAGAGCTGCAACTAACGATTATTTTTCATGATTGATTTGGTTGGCTGATAATTGTTTTGATTAATCAGATAAAAAAAAAAAAATGCAAAGTTTAAAAAAAAAATACAGATTTTTTTTTTTAATTAAATATCTACAGTATATTCAGTGGTGAATATAAGTAACCAGCTATATGGTTGGGGAACAAAATATCTAATCCACTTTCAGAATAACAGACAGGAGATCTCCAGTGTGTATATATACTATTAGAGGTTGAATCTGGTACTTATCCTGCTTTAAGAATGTTCGTTCGATTTTTTTCTAATTGTTATGAGCGATAAATCGTGATAGAAAAGTTCAAAGGAGCTGAATAGAAAACTTTTCTCAATCTAACAAATATTTAGACAGTATGTGGGTTTTTGATTTTAAAATTGTTTAAAAGCAAGTGTAATTTTTGAACTACATTCATTGAAAATACAAATCATTTTTATACAAATATTTTCTGAAAATCAATTTGTATGGCCAGCATAAGACCTTGTAGTAGCGGCAGCATGCTTATTTTTATCAACGGTCAAAACAATCAGCCCTTTATAGTACAAAAAAAACATCGGACATGTTCACATCTGCGTATTTTTCACCCACTTCCTTTATTTGGAAAGGGTCAGTCAATTGTTGAACGCAAAAAGTAGCGTTTTTGGTTCTACAGACTTCAGTGGAAATACTGCAGAAAAGCATGTAGTGCGTTTTTGCCGCGTTTTTGATGTGTTTTGAGTTTTAAATCTGCCTAACAACAAGAAAAAGAGAGTGCAGGTGCAAAATGCAATGCAGAAACGGCTCAAACGCAACCAGCATAGTTGTGAACCTAGCCTTAGAATCACTTCCTTCTGCCCAGAACTACATGCTCCATGAAGCATTGCTCCTCATACATTCACAAGTTCTCGGGCACTTCCTAACATGTATGGACAGTGTACTGAGCTGCATGTGTGCTGCACTGTGTATTCTGACATGTATGAAAGGCGTATTGAGCCGTATGTGTGCTGCACTGTGTATACTGACATGTATGGACAGTATACTGAGCTGTATGTGTGCTGCACTGTATTTTCTGATATGTAAATAAATAATACATTATGTATGCAGACCAACTAATTGGCTGACCAACTAATCGATTATGTTGATTAGTTGTTTCAGCCCAATAGTCAGAAAAACAAATGAGGCCTTTAAACAATTTTCTGGGCGAAGTGGTGCATTATCTGACAGAAATGCAGGGGTACTGATATTTTGGGCCATGACAGTAGGTCCAGATCACCACTGTTTACTGTACAAATCCTAAATTAATTGATGCTGAAAACTACCCACAGTTCTCTTCTTCCAACGCTGCGGCTGATTAGTTCTGTCTCTCATACAATGAAGGGATCCTTTCATTCACCTTCCCTCATCCTTTCATAAAATTAGTTGGGGGGAATTTACCTGGAATAGGGGTCTCCAAACTATGGCCCTCCAAGTATTGAGGAACTGAAAGTCCCATGAGGCCTTGCAAGACTCTGATAGCCACAGGCAAGACTCAGAGTCATGATTGAACTTCAACAGCTAGGGGACCAGTTTGGAGACCCCTAATTCTGGAACAAAGAGAATCTGAAGCACCTGTGCCTGGCAACCAATCAGCTTCTTCTACATTCAGCTTCTTCAGTTAAGCTTTGAAAATGAAAGAAGCTGAGTGCTTTCCAAACACAGCTGCTCCAGTTTTTATAAAGTCTCTGCACAGAATACACAGGCTTCTGTGAATAGAAAAGGGAGGAGGCTGCAATAAACACTTTCTATGTATGAGAGCTGCAGTGGGCTGAAAGTACAGCATTCATTCAAATGGATAAATTGTACATTAAAAAGAAGCTATCTGCACATTTAACACACGTGATCAGATGTAACTTTTTTGTTTGTTTATGAAGAGGTCTGTGTCCAGAGTTCTGCTGTAAGGAAATTAACGTTTAATGCTGCCATTTGTCATGTTTCTATAACAATGTGAAAGTTGGCTGTACTATCAATGAAGTGTCATTTAATACACAAATGTGTGTCAAGATATTGTTATCTATTGATCATTTCGCTAAAAATATACTGTAATGTTCTTACTAAGATTGTAGAGCAGCCATTCCCAACCAAGACTTTGGCATCCTAGAATTCCTCTAGAGGTTGCTAGGGGTTCCTTGAGCTGTTTCTGATTGACCTCACATCTGAGGGTGGCTGTATAGTTCCAATTCCAACACCACTTGGCATAGTCAGTGATACAAGACCAATTATCTTGTTTACTGTATGTAAGATTTACAGTCTTCCTATCAGCCACCAATCTTAAGCGGGGTATACACGTAGTGGTGTGTTTTTTATTTTTATTTTTTTATTTTTTTTTTTTTAATAAAAATTCACAGATCCAAGTCGTGCAAGCAATGTGGATACCTGCAACACTATTGTATTTTGACAGTGGGGACTCCCCCCAACCACCCCCTTGGAATACACAGTTCAGCACTGCAGCCACTGGCTTACCAGCAGGGCTGTTTGACAGAAGCTGGTCTACCAACTTCTGGAGGAGTACACATGTACTGAAAGTCGGCTTTTTCCTTCTGTACTGGCTGACTTTGGATACATATACTCAGCTTAAAGCGGAGCTCCACCCAAAAGGGGAATTTCCATTTTAAGGGCTTGTCCCCTGCTCCCTGTTAATTGGCACATTTGGGGAGCTCTGCTGTTCCGACTGCCTAGGCCAGGGGTCCTCAAACTTTTTAAACAGGTGGCCAGTTCACTGACCTTCAAACTGTTGGGGGGGCCAGACTATAGTTTGAAAAAAAAAAATGAACAATTTCCTATGCACACTGCACAACTCATGTTTGTAGTGCAAGAAAACAGGAAAAAAAAACAATTACAATATTTAAAATGCACTGGACACTGTAACGCACTGGACATCACAATGCACTGTAATGCAGGGGTCCTCCAATGTTTTAAACGGGGCCAGTTCACTGACCTTCACACTATTGGGGGGGGGGGGGGTGTACTATATTTTGAAAAAAAATATGAACAAATTCCTATGCATACCACACATCTTATTTGTAGCTCAAAAAACAATACAGTATTTAAAATTCACTGTATGCTGTAACACACTAGACATCAAAATGCACTGTACACTGTAACGCACGTGACACTGCAATGCACTGGACGCTGTAGCTCACTGGACGCCACAATGTACTTTGCCTGGTGTGATCTCCTCTCCTGTTACTCCTGTGGCTGCAGCAGGTGAAATTCGGGGCTTCCAGGCTGCGCTCACTGGGTCCTCATGGCTGAGGACCCAGCGAGTAGCCTAGCTATGTGCCGGCTGGTGCCGGGTGTCTGGCGGTCCGTAGTTTGAGAACCCCTGGCCTAGGCAATCAAAAGCAGAAGTTCTCCTCCCTGCACAGTCTTCTGGGACAAGTGACTGTCCAAGAACACTGCGGAACCATTCACAATGCACAGTGGGCCTCCAGCTGTGAAGACTCAAGCTGACACAGACGGTTGCCTATAGTTAAGATGCTGGGGACAGAGGATGGCTGATGAACCCGGCTGGGATGAGCACACCGCTGGATCGAGGGACAGGTTAGTGGCTGCTTATTTTTAAGTCATCGGCTACAATTTTTATAGCTGCTCCTTTTCACTTTTTTAATTTTTCAGGAGACTGGAGCTCTGCTTTTAAGAAGCATTATCGTCATTGAGTCCAGATGAATTTGGTTTTAGTAAGCGGTCCCCAAGACCAGAAAGTGTTTTAGGGGTTGCTATTGGGTAAAAAGGATGAGAAAGGCTTGTGTAATTTGTAGTAATATTGTTTGAAAGGAAACTTAGTTTGTCAGTAGGGTTTTTCTTTTAAGCATTGCTGAAATTATTAGTCCCCTGTTTATCATAGAGACAAATGTTATCTTTTGTAAGTGTTTTTTTGTTTTGTTTTTTAAGGCATCGAAAATCTACCATGTGAGCTTCAGCGGAATTTCCAACTCATGAGTGACCTGGATCAAAGGACTGAGGGTATGTGGTCTGCAATTGCATTCTTCTTGGTGTCGTAGGCCAAGTACACCCAGGAAATTTCTTAACCTCTTGGTGCTGGCGGTATGCAAATATGCGAGGGGACTTGACACCTAGTGGCCGCATATTTACTTACCAGATGTACCAAAATGTAAGCAAACGTGTTGAACACGTGCAGTCCTGGCCCAATTGCCGGCACCCATTGGATAGCTAATCGTGAGCTCTCTGACCATATGACCACTGTGACAGCCAATCATTGCGGTCACATGATCATAAACCCTGATCTCCTGGCAAGCGACATTCTGCAGAATTTCTCAGTGTAAACATAGGTGAGTATTGGCATTACACTTTTAGTGGTCCTGTTGCTAGCCAGTTATGGCCAGCAACAAGTTTGCAAGATTACCATGGGTTGAAGGCACCTTTGTTGAAAAGGGGACAGCCACTTGACCGGTTTTATCCACAAAGAGAACGATGGGCCTTTGTATGAAAACAAACATATGTAGGTAAACATTAACAAAACCTCTTATTTGTCCCTGAAATAAATATTCGGGGGTTGGTTTTCTTGGAATCCCCCCTATTTATCATAACAACATTATGTACTATTTATCGGTTCCTATAATTAATAAATATATAAGCTTTCACAATATTGATGGACGCAATATACTGCAATATTCGCTATAATAACAAACACAAAGCTCAAAGAAGCAAGGTCTTATTTACAAAGGAAGTAAAACACTAACAGAGAAATCTAAACCAATATTACAGAGTATATAGGAAGAAAAGCAAAGATGATATGTTATGTAAGTTCGTCCTCAAAGCTGAGTATCTTAGCTGGATCTACGATAGGAAAAATGGACAAAGACAGGAGCATGGCCAAAACTGTGTTTAAAAGCCCTCTCAAGCACCACACACACACACACCACCCCACCCTTTTACCCGCCTGATGTAGTCCTCTGCCCAATAAGCAAATGTCTCACTCATAAGGAGCTGTCCTCATTCATTAGGAAGTGTAGTATTACCCCAGCCATCCTCCCCGGAAGTATGTTGCCCCCACCAGGGGGCATTGCTATATTGTGACCCAGGTCAATATTTCCAGTCTACATCTGGCTTCTTCCTTCTGGCTAGAAGCCATGTAATCTGTCCTTTTTAATGTTTGTTTCACCAGACAATCTGGGCTGAGGCTCTTATCTCCATGCCCCACCGCTGGGGGGTCTGTGTGAACTCCCTGGACAAGGATTTTGGTATGCATCCTTTTGTTACACACACCCTGTTGTAAATACTTTCCAGGATGACATCCAACAGGTCAAATGGTTCTTTGATAATCAGGCAGTACGAATCCATGAATGTCTGATAAAGAAACATGTTGCCTTCCATCAGTCCCCTTCTGGTCTGTTTAAAAAGCCTGAAAAGGGAAAACTATTGTAGGGTTATTCTGGTACCTGATATTGGGCAGCCAGAATACAGGTTTATTGGTATGTTTGTGGTGATATTATGGACTTTACATATTGTATGAAGGTGATTTATTTTCTTTTGGAACAGATAAAAAGAAAGAGATTGATGCCTTGGCCAGTGAATACATAAACAAAGTACGAGACTTTACCCCTGAACAGAGAGTGCAACATTTACAGCGCATTCAAAATGCCTACAGCAAATGCAAGGAGTACAGTGACGATAAAGTGCAGTTAGCCATGCAGACGTACGAGATGGTAAGTACCTAAGCGATCCAGTTAAAGCACTGTGGATGTTAAAATTCAGCTAACCTTCTCTAGTTTAGTTATAACTTATATTTACATTGATATATAAATTCTATTATATATCAGATAAGCAAAAGTTCTTCCCAAAACTTGGCCTTACGCGATGTCTTTATGCCTTACTAGTCAGATTAACTTCTACCATGTCTCTTTAAAGTAGAATTCCAGGATCGATCGAACTACACTTAAAACTGCTATCATCCCCACATCTAATACCTATACTAACTTACCTGTGGAAGAAAGATACATATACTTATTTTTGGGTTGCTTCAGTCTGGTTACGTGATCCAGCTCTTCTGTGTCAGGCAGTGGCTTCAGGGGAGAGGAAGGACAGACAGCAATGGATGGGTCCATATCTTTTTGGGTTCTACATTTTGCTTCCTATGGGGGCACTCAGGTGGGCTTGCACCTGAGACCCGCTGCATGCGACCATAGGCACAGCCCTCGCTCCCTCGTCAGAGTTTGATTGACCGCAATGGGAACAAAGGGCTCCCTCTGGTATGGATCTGCTCTGTAAGGAGGGACAGAGCAGAGAGAGCCGCTGCTCTCATGAACTGCATGATGGGGCTTGAGTAAGTATAAGGGGGAGCATTGGGGGGGAGCTGGATACAGAAGTCTTTTTACCTTCATGTTTAGGCTTCATGCACACCGGTTTATTGTAAATGCTGTTTCTCCTGACAGGAGAAAATTTGCGTTTTAAAGTGATACTAAACCCAGGAGCCTGCATTCACTATATCTGGTCTCCCACAGTACCCAACATGGAAATTAAATTATTTTAGTAATTATAAACTGCTATATAACTTTTCTCATCAGCAGTTAGAGCAGTCATGTGACTTCAGCAGAGCACTGGTTAAAGCTTGTAGGAGGAATTTTCTTTCTGCTTTAGGAGGATGTGAAACCCCCTGACCCTCTGTCTGGACAGTGCTGATCAGCCTTGGCTGCTTACATGCACACTCCAAAGAAAAAAAAAAAACACCTCTCTAGCAATACACACCAAACTGAGCATGTGTCTACGGATTCAGGCTGTATCAGGTGGTCATTTTAACAAGAGGGGCAGAGAGGAAAGGATAAAACAGCCTTTTACACTATGCAGAGGATTAACCCCTTAGGTTCCACAGTGAGTATAACAAGCATGCTTTACTGCATATACAGACTGATTTTACTGTTGTAGGTTTAGTAACACTTTAAAAACTCACCTAAGCTGCATTTTTTTTCAAACCAGTTTAGAAGAGTTCAGCAGCATTTGGTGTTGGGAGTTTTTCATTGGCCAGAATTTTAATTTTATTCTGGGCATTGAAACTAATAAATACTGAAGCGCTAAACTTGACTAGCGTTTAGCATTTTAAATGCTGGTAAACTCTGAACGCGGTTTTTGTGCTTTCAGAGAAATTCCTATAAACGCGGCTGCCTGTAAACCCCTCTAAACGACTGTGTACATGGACACACGATAACATGGAGGAGAGTTCAGGGGCTTAAAAAAAAAAATGCTCAACTGCTCCCCAACGTCAGTTTAGTAGCTGGCAGTGTACATGAGGTCTAAGAATGCATGAAAGTTTAAAAAAAACAAAAAACTTCAGCCTTTAGAACCAATTTATTAAGAGGAGTTCTACTGTAATGCTCACAGATGGGGTTGCTAATAAAGGCAATGGCAGATGGTGTTTGATATTAGCATTATCTTCACTAGTGTGATGGTGTTGCATGTACTGTAAATTGGGGATGCTTTGGATGTTTATATGATCAATCTTGATTATTCCCCCTCCACCAATTACAATTCTTTCTTACCTTTTTAAAGGTGGATAAACACATCAGACGACTAGATGCAGACCTGGCACGATTTGAAGCTGACCTCAAAGAAAAATTGGAAGGGACAGAGTTTGACAGCCCATCTGGACGTGGAATAAAAAGCAAGTGTTTTATTTCCCCCTTTTTGTGTTTTTTTTTTTTTTTTTTTTTTTTTTTTTTTTTTTTGTAAATGTGGCCCTCGTTTTTAAACCAGATCTGTATGATGGGTTATGCTCATTTCAGTGCATAAAATTGTATGTTTGTTTTGCAGAGAATCGATCACAGAAAGACAAGCGAGGTTCCAGAGGCCGTAGGGTATCAGAAGAAGACACTGTAAAGAAGAAGAAGTTAAAAGGAGGGTGAGGAGATGTCAGGAACAGCAAAACAAGCACATAAATGAATTCAAAGTTTTTAGCCATGTGTGAAGTGCACGCAACTAGTGCAAACCTAATACAACTAATACAATCCTACTCTGATTTGTTTCTGAAAATGCTAGGTGCCTGGTTGTTCTGATGAAATGGCTTCAGTACTTTAAACCACTGACCATGCAAACGTATTAATGGGGTGATGTGTGACAAACCATATGATTGCATTGTATGTTACTTCGGCTGATACGAGTAGCCCTAAAATCAATTTTTAAAAAACCCTGTTCGGAGAAACAGGTGGTGGAGGCCTTTTCTGGCCTGAGACTTACAAGCCTGGTCTTTTCTGACTGTCATACTTTTAATTACTGACCTGAAACAAGCACGTAGATTTGTCAGAACTCTAGAGCTGCTTGTTTGTTTTATGTAGTGCTTCAGTATTATGGACGCAATTGGATTAGGACACCAAGGCATGTAGTATTTTCTGAAGAGTTGGCAGCTTTCACATGTTTAGGTAATTTTTGAGCGGTAACATTCTCGCTGGATTTGGGATTCTCTGCTTCTTATAAGCAGACCCAATGACTCTCTTTTTTGTTTTTGTAAGTAAATGGTGTTTATCTTGGCAGTGCATTTTCAGTGCCAGGGTCTAGAAAGACACTATGACCGAGGATTCTAAGCCAGGCAGGTTGAGGGGCTCCAGGGAGCTTGTGTCATGCAGAAGAAACTGGCTTCTCAGTTTTCTTAATGTTTCATAAAGTCTGTTTTGGGACCTGGAGCCCAGAGATTTTGAAGTGATCTGAGAGGGATGAAGTCTCCAATCCTGCGCCCAGATTTTCAAAACCATGTGAACAATTGTCACATCTATTTGGGGCTGTATATATCTGGTGCAATTTAGCACCTGTACTCATGGTGGGTGGAGGTAGTAGAAGTAGAGCTCCATCATTGATAGTGTGGTTACTGGGGGAGAAGAGCTCTTTATCCGCTTGGAGATCAAAAAGCATTTTGTGACCAAATACATACCTGGTGATGGTTCACAGAGAGCTGTTTGTGGAGCACAGAGGTAGAGTTCTGATACTTGTTACAGCTATACATCTTGAAGAATTGATTACAGCCTGCATTCTATACTATTAGATAGAAATTCCTTCATACACATTATTTGCACATGAATGATCATTAATGTATGGTCAGTGTTCATTTTGATGTTATTTTAGGTAATATTTACATATCACTCACGTCTGCAAATAGAAGATTAGGGATATGGTATTTATAAATTAACCAGGATGGCATTGATTCGTTTTATAATTTTGGTATGTGATTAGTATGAGGGTCACTTAGAGTGCATGGCGGCTGGTATATAGCACTTCATTTATATGTGTGTGTGTGTGTGTGTGTGTGTGTGTGTGTGTGTGTGTGTGTGTGTGTGTGTGTGTGTGTGTGTGTGTGTGTGTGTGTGTGTGTGTGTGTGTGTGTGTGTGTGTGTGTGTGTGTGTGTGTGTGTGTGTGTGTGTGTGTGTGTGTATTTGCAGATACCTGGATCATCATCTGTTTTTATTACAAACACCTTTTTGTATGATATATTTTGTTATCTTACAGTCCAGCGTTCTCAGAAGCAGTATTGTCTGTACATCCTTCTGATGTCCTTGATATGCCTGTCGACCCCAACGAACCAACCTACTGCTTGTGTCATCAGGTGTCCTATGGAGAAATGATTGGCTGTGACAATCCAGATGTAAGTGTCCTATTCATATATTACTCTTGCAATAGAAAAAAAATGGTTGTATTATTCATTTGAAAGTTACACCTTTTGGTTGATGACTACAGCTATAATCCTGTAAGATATTTCTATTTAAATTTTAGTTTTAGCTGTAATCCTGCAAAAACACAGAAAAATAACACACTTATTTAGTTTTAACTCTTCTTAACTTACACATTTTTAAAAGCTGAAAACAGTCCCTACAAAGCCTTGCTTATCCTGCTTGTTCATGTTGGTGAACTACACTGCACTGAAGAGTCAATTTTGCTAACTTACCTTCAGCATCCAGCACACTTTTAGATGTATCCTGCAGTGCTCTAGTTTGTTTCCTGCCCCCTTACATTGCTACTTTCTGTAGTGATGAAGCAGCTGGCAAATGAAATCAAAGTGTAGCAGGGGATGTTGATATTCCCTGAAGTGTCAAATTTAGAAAAACCTTCAGCAAGATGACCTCCAATGCAGCAGGAAAGGCAAGTATTTATTTGTTTTGCAGATATTTTCTGTTTTCAGCTTTTTAAAGGATACGTTCATCTTTGGAAATATGTTACATATTCCACCTGTTTTTAGGGTGTAACATGTTTCCAATGCTTCGCCTGCTGCGGGCATCCTATACGGACAAGCAGATATACTGACAGGTCTGCAAAAAACCTGCATGGCAACAGCCAACTGCTGATCGCTGATGCAATGCTGTACAGGTTCCTGCAACTAAAAATAACAAATGCACATTTTTTTTATGTGCAAAAAAAAAGTGCATTTATTATTTATGGTCAAAAGGTGAACTTATCCTTTTTTAAAATACTGGTGAAGTGGCTTTTTTGTGATTTTATAATCTGTTATTACTTGGCTGTACTTCACAAAATAATGACTTTTTTTTTTTTTTCCTCCTAGTGTCCCATAGAGTGGTTTCATTTTGCATGTGTGGATCTCACCACTAAACCAAAAGGAAAATGGTTTGTACTACATTTTCACTAATATTTGTATAAGAAAGGGAGTTAAAATCCTATTCCACTCACTTGGTCAGGATAGGTATAGGAGTATATTGCTGTAAATTCTATGTGCCTAGGTACCTACAATTTGTATGTAATAACAGCTAATGACCTTCAAATATGAAATCTCACAGAAATGTGTAGTCACCTTGGCTAAGAAAAACAGTCTCTGTTTTAGCTTATTATACATATATTGGAGACAAAGACCTACTGTAAAACAAAGTTATGTTACTCTGACTGCCAAACAAATATGCAAAAACATAGCTGAAAGGGGTGGCAAGAGAACTACCTAGTGCTTGATTTGTTCACTCTTTTTTGTTAGCTACTTATGCTTTGAACCCTTTTAGTTGGTGAAAATGTGAACTGGTGTTTTTACTTTTGTACACCTGTCAACCCCCCAGGCCCACAAACCAGCCAATCCCTGGGCCCCACTGCTGCACTTTTCCACTAGACCAGGTATTGCACATCTGTTCTTATAGCCACCAAAGTGTGCATGTCTGCACCATAGAATTCTGTGGAAAGCATGTCTATCTGAAAACCTAAAAAAATTTACAGAGACACTTGGCCTTGTGGAGACCCAGGGAAAGGATAATCAGTGGTGAGTGTTAGGCCTTGTTCACATAGTGTGTATGCAACTTTGCCCCATGCAATGGCCGTGTTTACCTGCATGGGGATGCACAGATGTTCCATACATCCCCGTGCAAGTAGTCCCATTCAAGTCATTTGCGACAGCGGCTGCATAGACTAGGCTGCTGCTCCCATTGTGACATTTGTTAGGGTGTGGGTGCACTGCACCCTGGATGCTTTGGGGCCATGCATCTGCACAGATTTCACATTGGGAGCAGTGGCTGTGTCTGTGCATCCACCGCGTCCCCATTCACTTGAATGGGACCACCCGCACAGAGATACTTGGAACACCTGTGTATCCCTGTGTGGGTAAACACAGGTATCACATGGGGTACGTATGCCTATTCCCTGTATGGACGAGACCTTCTTCTTAAGGCTATTCAAAAGGGGGAGGTGAGCAGCTTTGAGTACCTATCATTTGAACAAATATCATAATGTTTTTAATAAAATAATGTATATCTGGAAGGCCTAACAAGATAACTTTTTTGCATTTCTAGGTTCTGTCCCCGCTGTACCCAGGAACGGAAGAAATGATTACAGCACTTGTGTCCGTTATGAAATTTTGTCTACTTTTGTGTTATATGTTTCATGTATCCCCCTACCATTTGTCTTGCTACTGGGCTGCTTCTTTTAAAAAGCAGAAGATAGCAAGTCAAGTTGTGCTCAGTGTACAGCCATTCTTTTGGGGGGAGAGTATTGTTTGCACTTTGGGATTGGTACTGTTGTTTGTACAAGTTTCATTTTACATACAGTATGTCAGGGTTATCCCATTTTTATTCTTCCCTAACAATTTTTTTACATCAATTGATACTGGATGGACTAAGCTAACTCGCTTTTGTGTACACTTTTCTCATCCCAATTCCTCCTTATGTAAAACATTAGATGGGTGTTACTCATGCAACTGGGTTGATATGGTTAGCTTAGCAGACTGAATCTCAAGACCAGCTCTGGAAAGAGTTTAGTGCTCTTGTCTCTTTTCCAAGATGCACCTCTCTAGTTGTTAAATCACCTGTTTTATTAGGATTCCACAAGTTAGTAAAACAAAGTGGTCCCCATCTCCAGCAGACCCCTTGTAAACAGTCATGGACCCTTATCCTATAATGCAATCACTTTTTTTAATTTACTGATGAAACTCATCTAGTTTGGAAATATGCTTTAGCCAATTTGGAACTGTGGGCAGAAGCGGCACGATTCTGCCCACTATTCCAAATCGCATGGCGATCGCTGAAAAAGGCACTACCTGCATTTGGGTGCCATTATCCTTTTTTAGTGGCACCCCAAACGAGATGTGATTCTGCCGCAATTGTTGTGTGACAGGCTTGCTGCCTGAAAAAGAGCACAAGCTTCTTTTCAGTTGACAAACGCTCATGGGCAGCTCGATGCAGCATGTAGAATGGCATGAAAATCAGTTTGTGAAAATTGCATCATGGGAACTTTTGTTCCGCTACGCAATAATGTGAGCCTTACCTGGCCTAAATGTTTGTAATGTAACAAGTCTGAAGTGTTGTAAGTTCTGTCTTCAAGTCTGTCCCCGTGGAGTCCCATAATTCCTAGGCCCAGGCTGTATGATGCCTGAACCTCTGCTCATAAATTAACATTAAGCCATAACTCTTCAATAGCCATTTAATAGTTGAATGAGAATAGGTTCATATTGTAATTCTGCGCTGACAAATGCTTTGGTGCTTTGTGGTGTCATTTATTCCTATGAGCAATTTTGGCAAAAGCCATTTTTTTTTTTTTTTTTTTCTCATTTTGAGGAGCACAGGAATTTTTTCACTTTTGGGTTATATTGCTGCCTATAGGAGGATTGGACACTGGCGAACAACCTGTAAGGCAGATCAGGATGACCTTTCCTACTATGAGCATGCCCCACTAAGCTAGTGTCCTAGGAGGAGGAAGGATGTAATGTAAAAAAACAAACTGGCCTATACTTGTTAGCACTTTTTGTTTTTTGTTTTTTTTGCATAACTGCGAGAGCTGGTTTCTTTGACTGCGGCTATCTGGCATTGCCTAAAAGTGAACTTTGGGCACTGGTTTCCACGTAGGGTGCTTTCCACACCCTGTTTCTGGTTACAACTTAGCTGCATAGCGATTTTCTAGTTCTAGAGCAGCCAGCTTTGCCTCAGCTCTTGCCCTTTCTCTAAAGACTGTCCATGAGCAGTTTAGTTTGGCTGAGTACCAGGAGACGTCTCATTTACATTGGTTGCTGAGTGACTATAAAATGGAACTGAATGTTGACATCATCCACTGGGTGAAATGTTGCTCACTCCACACTTTTCCACAATACATCATCAAGAAAGCATATAACCTGCTGTTCCTGCTTGTACAGAACCATGAGGAACTCTGTCTTTCTTCCATTGTTTTCAATATACAGTCACTTTGGTCACTTCATCCATCTGACACTCATTTACTACCAGCAGTTTGGTGTCATGGGATACCTGAGGCCTTGCCTTGTACCTTGACGTATAAGTTGCCTTACCACAATGTCGTTGCAACATGTTTAAATCTAGACACATGGGAACAGTCCTGCTGTAACTGGTGTGCCAAGCCCAGTGGGCTGTTTGCTGTGGCAATTTACAATGCTGACAGCTGAAGCCTAGTATCCTATTGCCCTCGGTTTCTAGAGTCAATTTTGTTATTGAAGTCCTCTTCAACACCGTTGGCCACCTGTTCCTCCCTTTTTTTCCCTTTTTACCTTTTTGGGTTTTTACTACAATCATGCCCGTATCTTCCCCGCAGAATCTACATCTAATATACCCATGGCCTTAGTGGCACCTGAGCCAGGTTCATCTTTGATCTCAAAGCTTTCAATGTCTTCAAGCTTAAAATTCCAGATGAAATATACCAGGTTTGATATTACCTCTTTACCAGTTAGATGTATTGGCTTCTAGGAACTTCAAGGTTGTTTACCTGCATGTCATCTTCTCAGGGGCAGCCAAGTTTTGCTATGGGGCTCCTGGACTACCAGCTTATGACCTTTCCATTTGGCCTGTTTTTGGAGTTCATGTTTACACCAAGGTGCTGGTCCCAGTAGTAGCACTGTGGCATGGTCAGGGCATTCCTATTGTTGGATATCTAAATTACCTCCTGTTGATGGAGCAGTCAGCTAAGGTTCTGTCCAGACAGTGTATCTTTGTCTAGACATTACAACTGTTCAGATGGATCCTGAACCCTTAGAAACTGTGAGGGAACTGACTAATCATTTTTAGATTCCGCTCAGGTCAGAGTGTTTCTTCCACAGGGAAAGGTTCAGACTCTCGGTTTTCAGATTTAAAGTCTTCAGTCTAGGAGTCATCCTTTCCCCTTTGGCATGAGAGCACTAGGCCTAATGGTGGCCTCCTTCAAGGCAGTACTATTCGCCCAGTTTCACTCCAGCTCCAGAGCAAAAAGCAATATTCTGTATCCTGGGCCAAGGCAATCAATTCCTTGGACTGAATTATTTGGCACCAAGGACCAGGTTGTCCCTTTTTTTCCAGGTGGTTTAGAAATCTGGCTCTGGAATCAGAAGTTATTCCCATATTTTTTTAAAGCTCTTAATGAGAGATGCCAGCTTGTTGGCTTGTAAGGGGGGGGGGGGGGGGGGGGAGGGGGGGCTTGGTGCCTAGAGGAACCCTGTCTACTGATGCACATCCTGGAACTTTGGGTGATTTAGCGGTCTCTGCAGCATTAGACCATCCTCCTGGAAAGTTGTACAATCCTGATTCATTCGGACAATGTCATGGTGGTGTACATAACAGGGAGGTGCCAGCAGTGTCACCATGGCAAAATTAGGTATTTTCCTGGGCAGAACTTCAGGTTCCCACCTCCTTGTCCACCTTGTACATCTTAAGTATAGACTTTCTAAGCCAACAGTGCCTATACCCAAGAGAGTGGTCTTTACACCCAGAGGTGTTTCAGGACCTCCGTCACAGGTTTTTTTGATGCCAAATGAACCATGCTCAACAGCAAACTGGACAGGTTTGTATTGAGGTAAAATATATCTTTAGGGAAAGCAGTGGATGGTCTAGTGGCTCCATGGAATCGGTACACCTTTAATTTATCCCTTTCCTCCCCTAAAACTTCTTCCTAGTCTGCTTCACAGGATCGAAATAGGAGACCGTTTGGTGATCCTCATTGCTTTTGACGGGCCCGGGGAAATGTGGTGTGCCAAACTAGCTCCTGGTGGACACTCCATGTACTCTACTAGATCTTTAAGGCCTTTTGTCTCGAGGGCCATTATTCAAGCTTGTGGTCTCAAGGATTTGGTTCAACCCTTTCCTTTCAAGGCACACTCTATTAGATCTAGGAGTGCTTCTTGCCTTTTCAGCATTCAGCATCTGTTTACCAAATTTGGAAGGCTGCCACCTGGTTTTCTGTTCACATATCCTGTAAGCTCTACCAGGTAGACCTTGTGTCATGAACTGATACCAGCTCAAGGTATAAGGTCATTTAGGTGTCTCCTTTGAGCTGTAGGCAATCCCAATTTTGTCTTTTTTGGGCCTGTAGCTTTTGTTGTGTTGCCCACCCTTCGGTTGGACTACGTTTGGATGTCTTGAGGGTGAAAAGACTTTCTATATCTTTAATTTAGATGTGGAAAAAAAAATGAGGATTTTATACTTTCTGTAAAATCCTTTTGTTTTGAGTTTGAGGGACACTGGTCTCTCCCTTCTGTGTTTTTTGATTTTTAGCATTGGAAAATCTGAGTACACTTTTGGAAAATATATGTACGAGCAGACTGCATTCAAGATGGTACTAGGGTAAATATCAGGCAGTCTGCATTACATCTGTACTAAAGAACTCAAGGTTTATAGAACACCTGGAAAACATTTGTACATCTGAACAAGAACACATTGACATCTGTGTTGATATTTATTTTTTCGCTACTGCTTTGCTACCAAACTTGAGGCATGCTGGTAGTAGGAGGGAATATCATTCGCTGGCCTATAGTTTTTGGTTTGCTATTGTCCAATCCTGCTGTCCTTTTAGTGGACTCCCAAGAAAGATTTTACAGCAAATCTAAAAATCCTATTGTCTGCATGGTACAACCTGAGCATAGGATCCAAGGCTCTCCAGATACAGATTTATTAGAGAGATTTTAGGCCAGGCCAGGTTTGCTTTAACTGCTGCATTTAAGAACCGAGTCCCCAGTTTCAATCTCCCTCTCAGTGTAGGAAGGTGTTGATAATTCAAAGTTTGACTGTATGCAATGTCCTGAAGTTTTAAGAGTGCAAAAATGTAAATTCAAGTAGGTACTTCTAATTGGAAGATCCATTTTGACTGCATGTATAAGCCAGGTGCAGCCAGTTATAAACGTATTTTATTTTAAAGTGGAAGAAAAGGTCTAGTCTTGTCTCGTGATTATGCAGCTCTGGATCAGGGAGCACTCAGCAATGGCTGGGATTTCCAGGAGCCATTGATGGGCTTCCATGACCCAGTCCTTGTTGGCACTCCCTCCTCTACTGCAGCCGCACTCGCTGACACTGGGGTGCCAGAGCTGTGAGATCACATGACCAGTGTGGAATTTTTTTTTTATACAAGTTAGAATAGGTAAAGGG